CCCCCAGCACAGGTAGGGCAGTCCTTTGTCCCCGGCGCCACCCTCTCGAAAGCCGGGCGCTGCCGCCGGCCCCGGACCGCGGCCCCTGCGCGCGCAGCCCCTCTGGCTGCGGCCCAGGGCGGGTCCGGCCCCTGAGCCAGGCTCCTGGGCGCGCCCGCAGCCCGGGGGACGTGGTAGGAAGCCTTCGCTCGCCCCGGCGGGCGCGGGCACAGGGTAGAGGCTTGGGCAGAAGCCCTGCCCGCAGAGGGCTTGCGGGCCCGGGCGAGGGAGGCCCGCGGGGCGCATCAGAACCATGTCCAGTCTGTCAGATGCGTGAGGACAAAGGCGGGGAAGGGCACCGACCGGGCGGCTAGGGAAGGCTCTCGGGGGGATGACTTTTGAGCCAAGACCTGGAGGAAACCAGGGCACCAGCCGGCGCGGGGGTAGGGGTGGGGGTGAGGGGGGTGCAGTGCCCGTGTGGCTGGAGTGGAATCATGACAATGGCTCACGTGTTGAGCAGGTGCCAAGCCCAGTGCTCGATGCTTTATGCATATTATTCCCTGTCATCATCAGGACAACCTGGACCTGGGCACTGCTGTCAGCTAAGAGGAAATCGGGGTCAGGGAGCCCAAGGAGACTGATGTCATTGCCTGAAACACCCCCAAGAGACCCAGGGTGGGGTGACCTTAACCAAGATAGGTTCCCCACGCAACTCCTGTTTCCTCCCAGAGCACTAGAGGCAGGGGCAGTGAGTGACTTGAAGGGAAGATGGGCTGTACGGGCCCTTTTTGCTGACAGTCTGCCCCCCCAAAAGAACAATTTACCCAGCAGCTGGGGCCCCTGAAACCCAGCCTAAAATACTGTACAGAACAAAGGTGTGGTAGGAGTTTTCCTGGACAGAAGTCTCTTCTCTCTGTTCTCCTGGGAGAGGCTTTTGTTGTCTGGGAAGCACTTGTCACTCCTCTAGGCCCTGGAGCAGGTACTAGTGGCTTTGGGGAGGGAGGGTAGAACTGGGAAGAGGCTGCTGCTGGCGGTGGGCTGGGGGGAAGCTGGCGGTGGGGTGGAACAGTAACAAAGATGGTGTCAGCCAGGCAGGCTGTGTGGACCCACCAGCAACTGCAGGACAAGCAGAGTCACCGAAACATCCCTGTGAGCCTGGATTGATTAAAGCACAGCCCCACGCCGAACCGGTTTGGCTCAGTGGATAGAGCGTCGGCCTGCGGACTCAAGGGTCCCGGGTTCGATTCCGGTCAAGGGCATGTACCTTGGTTGCGGGCGCATCCCCACTGGGGGGTGTGCAAGAGGCAGCTGATCGATGTCTCTCTCTCATCGATGTTTCTAGCTCTCTATCCCTCTCCCTTCTTCTCTGTAAAAAATCAATAAAATATATTTAAAGCACAGCCCCAAAGCTCACCCAAGTCTGCACCGGCAAGCAGGTTCTCTGACCACCGACCAGACGTGGTGGAAAGGGCCTCGGGGTTGCCGATCGGGGCTTCCTTTGCTGGCTGTACCCGTCGCTTCTCTGCTGTACAAGTGGGGGATGAAGGCCTGTGGGTTTCTCATGGAGACCTCTGCTCCAGCCTGGCACAGCTTCAAGTGTGGGTTTCTCATGGAGACCTCTGCTCCAGCCTGGCACAGCTTCAAGTCTTGGCCTTTGGGTGGGGGTGTGAAATGTGGAGGATTAGGAGTGGGACCCAGCCCTGTGAGTTTGAGCCTCAGGAGACAGTGAGGTCCTGGTGGTACAGGACCACAGGGGAACTTACTGCTAGGCCATTTGGTAGATAAGAAGGAGACTCAGAGGTTAAGTGGTTCACCTGAGAGCCCACAGCTATGAAGTAGCAGAGATGGATCCAGGTGCAAACCACTGGAGTCCAGAGCCCAAGCCCTGCCCCTTAGGGAGTGGATTCACCCCAACAGAATATGTGGCCATGTGCTTGCTATAGTGGAGACCCTCCCACTCAACACACACACACACACACACACACACACACACACACACACCACACTCTGTGGGGCCATAGGGATGGGGAAGTAATGATCACCAAAGGGGACAGACACTTTCTATTCTCAGATTCTCAGCCATGCAGTCCCAGGCCTCATCCCTAGGCCTTTGCATCTGGGCTGAATTGGTCTCTCCCTTCTCAGGGTGGACTGGTGTAGGAGGGGCCAGAGGCACTGTAGGGGTCATCTGCCAATGTCTTCTGCCAGGGGCTTCTTCCTGATGAGGTCTCAGACTTTGGTCTTGGGCCCGGGCCCAAGGGCAGAATGATGCCACCTGGACACCTGGAACCTACCTGCACACCCTGGCCTTGAACTAAGGGTGCAGTTGAAGCTATGACCACTGAGTGTGAGGGTGCCAGGATGGAGGGAGAGAGGTCTGAGGTGGCACATGTGAGCCATGAGACTTGAGTGAATAGAATGCCAGGAGATGGGAGCTGGTCCCCTCAAATGACCCCTGTGGGCCAGGAGTTGTGAACACTGCATATTGCTTCCTGTTGATCTGGTCCCTCCTTCCCTTTTTTCCTCCCTGGAAATATTCTGAGTCTTAGAACCCCAATGGGCTCTCAAACTCAAGATGCTGACCAATAAGTCTGGGGCAAGGTTCAGGGATTTGTTTTTTAAAATATATTTTTATTGATTTCAGAGAGGGAAGGGAAGAGAGAGGGAGAGATGGAAACATCAGTGATGAGCGAGGATCATTGATTGGCTATCTCTTGCACGCCCTCTAATGGGGGATGGAGCCTGCAACCCTGGGCATGTACCCTGACTGGGAATCAAACCGTGACCTCTAGGTTCATAGGTCAATGCTCAACCACTGAGCCACTCTGGTTGGGCTGAGGATCTGTATTTTTAACAAGCTCAAGTGACTTGTGATGCATGTGGTCCTCTGACTAGACCTGGAAAACTGCTGTCCCAGGCCTCCCAGCCAGGCCGCTGTAAGGAACCCCTTCCAAGCCTTCTGGCAGATAAGAGACTGGTGTGCCTAATGGTTTTCCACAACTAAAGTTAGATGCATTCTCACTTGGAATGCTGTCATCAGCTGAGCTCCTCCCCTGTTGAAAATAAATGATGGCGCCCAGTTGGAGTGGCTCAGTTGGTTGAACATAGTTTTGTGCACCGAAGTGTTGCCAGTTCGATTCCTGGTCAGTGTACATACCTGGTTGTGGGTTTGATCTCTGGTCAGGTACATACAGGAGACAACTGATGTTTCTCCCTCCCTCTCTCTAAGCATGTCCTCGGGTAAGGATTAAAATAATAATAAATAAATGATGGAGTCTCAAGCAATAGCCCTGTCTTTAACCTTCCCCTGCCGAGTATCTCCAAAGATCCGGCTACCCTGGGTCACCCACTTATTTCTGAGCTCCTTGCTCTGTCCCGCGCTCTCCCCTCAAAGCACATCGTGCCAGATTCTGCCATGTCCTAAAGCCCCAAGGGTCTGCCCATGGGCCACACTACCCCTGCCTGGACTTAGGGGTGTTGGTTCAGATCCTGATTTTGCCCTAACCAGGCTCATGACCCGACAGATTCCTTGAGCCCTCAGAGTTCCTGTTTCCTCCTCGACAGTGTGGAAGGTGGTAATAATAGTCCTGTCTCACAAGGCTCTTGTGAGGATTGACATTATGTGGCTTCATCTCTAAGGGACCTTGGAATATAATATTTCCTGATCTGTGTTATGTTATTTAATCCTCAAAACTATCCTGTCAGATAGATTGTTGCTGTCAGGCCCATTCTGTAGATGAGAGGGAGGCTCAGAGAAGCCAAGTGATTTGGCCAAGAGCACTTACTATAAAGCAGCAGAGGTGGGATTATTCTAATGCAAATCATTTCACTCCAGAGCTTAAGTTTCTAACCACTAACAACTCTACCCCTGTACCCCTGTGCTATGGGTTCTCTTTCTTCATCTTGAGTTCATTCATTCAAGAAATATGTTTGGCATGTCTACTACCTAGGGATATAGCAGGGAATGAACAGAGGAAGCTCTGCCCTTATGGAGCTTACATTTTGGTCAGGACACATTGGAAGAAATGTATAGGAACTATAGATACTTGCCCAAGGCCTCTCTTCCTCACTGTCTGACCTGGGGGCACAGACCAGGACCCCCTATTTCACCTCCTTATTGTTTCTTGCACCCAAAGGCCTCAGGAGGTAGACATTGGCTGAATTGGACTGGTGTGGGTTTGCCCCTTGTGGAGGCGGAAGTGGATCACAGCAGGACCTGGTGTAGGGCTTGAAGGCCTTGGAATCCTAAGGGGATGGGGGCAGTGGCAGTGCTGGCATGGAAGGAATGGGAGTACAGTTGGGCACCACCATCCAAGCCAGGCTGAGGATAGACTTTATTAGGGAACTACAAATCAAAACCATACTGCTTTACACCCACCAGGATGACTATAACAACAAAAAGAGAAACAATAATAAGTATCAGGAAGATAGGGAGCAGTTGGAACCCTCACATTGCTGGTGGCAATGTCAAATGGTGCAGCCATTTTGAAATAATCTTGCAATTCCTCAACATAGAGTCACCATTTAACCCAGCACTTTCACTTCAAGAGAATTGAAAACATATGTCCAGGCAAAAACTTGTACATGGGTGTTCATAGCAGCATTATTCTCTTGACTAGAATCGAACCTGGGACCCTCCAGTGTGCAGGCCGACACTCTATCCACTGAGCCAAACCAGCCAAAAGCAGGAAACAACTCAAATGTTCATCAACTGATGAGTGGGTCAACAAAATGTGGTCTAGCCATACAATGGAATATTATTCAGCCATGAAAAGGAATAAAGTTCTGATAGATGCTACAACATGAATAAACCTTGAAAACATTATGCTGAGTAAAGAAGCCTTACACAAAAGACCACATATTGAATGGTTCCATTTCTATAAAATGTCTAGAATAAGTAGATCAATAGAGATGGAAAGTAGACTACTGGTTGTCAGGGGGAGTGGGCACAGGGATTGGAGAATACTGTTAATGGATGCAGGGTTTCTTTGGGGGGTGATGAAAATGTTCTAAAATTGATTGTGTTTTAAAAAAAATTTTTAAATCAATTTTGGAGAGGACAGGAGAGGGAGAGAGAGATGGAAACATCAATGATGAGAGAGAATCATTGATCGACTGCCTCCTGTACACCCTGGACTGGGGATTGAGCCTGCAACCTGGGCATGTGCCCTGACCAGGAATCAAACTGTGACCTCCAAGTTCATAGGTCAACACTCAACCACTGAGCCATGCCAGTCGGGCATAAAATATATTGATTTCAGAGAGGAAGAGAGAGATAGAAACATCAATGATGAGAGAGAATCATTGATCGACTGCCTCCTGCATGCCCCCTACTGGGGATGGAGCCTGCAACCCACGTGCTCTTGACTAGAATCAAACCTGGGACTCTCCAGTGTCCAGGCCGATGCTCTATCCACTGAGCCAAACCAGCCAGGGCTGAATTATATACTTTAAAATGGTAAATGGTATGGTATGTGAATTACATCTCAATAAAGCTCTTACTCAAAAAATATTAGCCAGACTTTCCTGCATTAATGCTGACAGAAGGCACCAGGAAGTGGATTCAAGAACTTGCTGAGTGATGGGGGAGAATCTTTGTGGTTACATTGCTGTAATTCTCATGAAATGGTTGTGGAGAAGTGATTGTGGAGGAGGCTTTGATTCATCCTTAAGGCCTCAGCTTATGTGATATCCCTGAGCTTGCCCGCCCGCGCCCCCCCAACCTCACAACCCTCCCTTTGTCACTTGCCATCACTCTCAGTCCCTTCTTTCTTTCCTCTTTAGCACTTCCCACACTTGGAATTATTTTCTGTGGAGCCGATTTTGTCTGACTCTTGCTGGGCTGAGTTCCATGAGGCCAGGGGCTTGTCTGTGTCTGGTTTACCCCACAGTAGGTGTTCAATAAATACCTGTAGAGTGAATGAACCCATACAGGGTAGGGAAAAAGTAGTTTATAGTTGTGAGGACCTGAAACACAGAGTCTATTCTTGTATTATTATTTATTAATTATTGTATTATTTCCCATACAAACAATTGTAAACCCACATTTGCCCCATCCTGTATATACTGATAACTGGGGGAGGTCTGGGCTAGGGTCCATGCTTGCTGCAAGGGAAGGAGTGAGCAGAGTGGATCAGGGTCCTGGCCCCAGTGGCTTTCTTTTTCTCTCTGTTTCAGTTCCAGGAGAATGTCTCTGGAAAGGAAGCCCAAAGCCTGGTCTGGCTGGGAAGAGGGGAGCGGGGTGGGGAGCAGGAATGGGGGCTGGACGGTCCTGGGGAGGAAGTCTGCAGCCCCAGGCTGCCGAGGGCGTGGTGTCTGTGTTTGCACCTTTGGAATGTGGCTGATTCACTCTGGGGAGAGCCATGTGCCGCCACTGTTGCTGCCTTGGATCTGACATCTGGAGGCTGAATTCCCGGAGGAGACAGATTCTTGCTAAGCAGATGCCAACTTTGAAGGTCAAACTGAGTGATGGTGGTGCTTTAGAAGGAGGTCCAGAGGCCCCCCCCCCCCAGTATTCTGGGAGAGAGGTGAGGCCCCATCCCCAGCCGTGTTCCAGCCCCTAAGCTACCAGAGCTCTGCAGTCAGACCTGTGTTCAAAGGCCAGTTACTTAACAATTCATATAACAGCAAAGGCCGAGGGCCTGGCTGGTCAAGTGCTCAGCAGTGGTGCTGGGACATTGGATTGCATCGCTCCATCCTGTAGGCTCTCTGTCACCCAGCTTGGCTCTCCCCGGGTTCCAGCAAGACCCCGGGCTTCCCTCTTGTTGGGTCTCAGCTCATCCCTGACGCTGATTGGACAGGTCTGGGTCAGGAGCTTACTCCAGCCCAGGGTAGACACCCCTAGTGCCACACAGGGAAAGTGGGAGTGAGGGGTCCCCCAAAGCAACCAATGCCAGGGGGTGGGCAGAAACAGCACACAACCCCACTCGGCTCAGCTGCCTCCATAGGACTGGCTTCTGGGGCTCATGCCAGGCTCTGTGCTCAACTTCATGGCTCTTACCTACTGAGTATGCCTATGTTCCTTAAGTTCTCAAAAGCTCATTTTCTTTCTTTCTTTCTTTTTACTACTCACCGGAAGATATCTTTTTCCATTGATTTTCAGACAGTGGAAGGACCTGGGGGAGAGAGAGAAACATTGAAGTGAGAGAGACACATCAATTGGTTGCCTCCCTCAGGTGCCTGGTATCAAACCTGCAGCTGAGATATGTGCCCTTGACTGGGAATTGAACCCGAGACCCTTTGGTCCATGGGCTAGCTCTAACCACTGAGCAATTGGCCAGGGCAGAAGCTCATTTTGTTATCTATGAAATCTCATAGGCTTCTTTTAAAAATTGAATTAGTCAATAAGTGAAAATCCCTTGGTACCTGCTTGGCCCACAGGAGGCAAGGTGCTAACATGTCTAGTTCCCTTTCTCTTCCCTGTATCTAGATATTATGTGATCTGCTCTGTGATGGTGCAGGCAGGTGTGTGCACACGTGTGTATGTGTGTACACGTGTGCACATGCATGCAGCATGCCCCTTTCTCTCCTCCAAGGAGTTCTGTATTGTTTGGCTTTCCCCCAGAGGCTTAGGGACTATATAGGACAGAGGGTAGAGGCAGGAGGAAGAGGAAAGGGGTTGAAGGAGAAGTGTATGGGCCTCCCTTGCTGGTCTGCAGGCTCAGGCCTGCCTCTGGGAGTCACCTTGCTATTCCCTCAGTTCTACCTGGGGCTGGAGGGGGCCCAGGCTCTGAGGAGTGGCTGCCTCTGTCCCTCCCATGTCACGTTAAATGCATGTTGGTCATTTGACATTGGGGGGCAGCACTGAAACAGGCTTGCTGATCTCATCTTCTCTCCTCTAGAACCCTGGAACCTGGGGGTGAATCAGAGAGGAACCCAGGCTTGGGGCTTCTCAGAAGAAGAAACTGGTGCTCAGAGTATTCTCAGCCTCTGGAACGCCTCGGAGAAACCAGGGGCTTCTGGGGAGGCGGAGAGCAGGCCTGCTGTAAGCTTTTCCAGCTTTTGTCAACTGAGGTAAAGCGCCTCTCAGACTCTGCTTGGGGCCGTGGAGCACTAGGCCGAGTGTTCCGCCTCCTTGGCTCAGGGTCTTCCCCTCCTGCCAGTCCTGCTTGGTGCCACACCTCTGAGCTGCCACAGGTCTGTGGGTGCCAGCTCATCCCCACCCAACCACCCAAGTCCTTCGACTCTCATCCCAAATGCCACCACGTGCATCTGTGGTTATTCTCATCTCCATGGCCATTCTGGCTTTTCATATAATGGAATCATGCAATATGTCACCCTTTGTGTCTGGCTTCTTTCACTGAGTATCATGTTTTCAAGGTCCATCCATATTGTAACACCTGTCAGTACTTCATTCCTTTTTTTGTTAATCTTCACCCGAGGATATTTTTTCTATTGATTTTTAGAGAGAGTAGAAGGGAGGGAAAGAGATAGAGAAAAATAGATGTGAGAGAGACACATCTATTGGTTGCCTCCTACACATACCTCAACCCAGGGCCAGGGTAGGTGCCCTTGACCAGAATCGAACCCACAACCCTTCAGTCCTTAGGCCAACGCTCTAACCACTGCTCAGGGCTTAACCAGCTAGGGCAGTACTTCATTCTTTTTAATGGTCAAATAATATTCCATTGTGTGGATAGATCAGAATTTGTGTATCCATTCATTGATCAATGGATGTTTGTGTTGTTTCTACCTTTTGTGAATGATGCTGCTATTCCTGTATAGTTTTTTTGGTAAAGATGAAGGTTTTCAATATAAGTGCTTTTTTTTTTTTTTAATCCTCACCCAAGGACATGCTTAGAGAGTGGAAGGGAGAGAGAAGAGGAGAGGAGAGAGAGAGGGAGAGAGAGAGAAGAGAAGCATCGATGTGAGAGAAACATTGATCAGCTGCATATGTGCCCTGACCGGGAATTGAACCCCCAGCCTTTCTTGGTGCACGGGATGATGCTCCAACCAACTGAGCACTCTGGCTGGGCTCAATATAAGTGTTTTTGTTTTGTTTTTTTTGACAAATACTTCATTTAATCCTCACAACAGCCCTGTGTGTCAGTGCCGGCATGCTCTCCTCTTGCAGATAAGGAAACTGAGGCTCAGAGAGGTGAGTCAAGGTCACACAGCTGGAAGCACTGGGCTTCTCTAGCTCTTGGCCATCAGGCCCCATGATGCCTACTGAGGTGTTTCGGTTCATTTTCAGCAGAGCCTTGCCAAGTGCTATCCCACAGTAAATGTTGCTTATTCTTCCATGAAGGCTCATGCAGAACTGCAGCCCCAGATGTGCTCCATGCTCTATCATGGTGAGTGCCAGTCATGTGCTCAGTGGTAATCCTGTGGCTCCACAGAAGCCCCTCAGGTGGTTATGGGAAGTCCCTACTGTTGCAGATTCATCCACAGATCTGGGACTGGGCATTTCACTGCTGCCTCTGAATACATTTTCAGCCTGTATCACCTTGCTTTTCTAGGGGTCCCAAGGCTGTCTTTCATCTCTTGCCTTGGATTTGGCACACAGACATGTGTTTGCCTGCTGGTGACCTTTGCTTCCTCCACCTTCCTTCCCTGTTGTCATACAAGCCATGGTTCAAGTCGGCTCTGCCAGTCTGGCTCTGTGGCTTCAGGCAAGTTTCTCAACCTCTGAGCCTCTATTTGCTCATCTGTGGCGGAGGAGTCATAATACTACCTATCGATACACTGATTAGGTGGTTGTGGAACTAAGAAAAGGGAGTTGAAGTCCGGCCGGTGTGGCTCAGTGGTTGCGTGTCAACCCATGCACCAAGAGGTTGCTGGTTTGATTCCCGGTCAGGGCACATGCCCAGGTTGTGGGCTTGATTCCCAGTGGGAGTGTGCAGAGGCAGCTGATTGATGTTTTCCCTCATGTGTGTTTCTATCTTTTCCCCTCCCTTCCTCGCTCTGTAAAAATCAATAAAAAAATTTTTTTTTAAAAAGACAAGGGAGCCCTAACCGGTTTGGCCCAGTGGCTAGAGCGTCGGTCTGCGGACTGAAGGGTCCCAGGTTCGATTCCGGTCAAGGGCATGTACCTTGGTTGCGGGCACATCCCCAGTGGGAGGTGTGCAGGAGGCAGCTGATCGATGTTTTTCTCTCTCATCGATGTTTCTAATTCTTTACCCCTCTCCCTTTCTCTCTGTAAAAAATCAATAAAATATATTAAAAAAAAAAAAGACAAGGGAGATGTGCCCACTCAGTATCCAGCCCCTCACATACACTTGGGAAGCCACCCGTCTCTGGTCATTCCTCCCTGCAAAGGCAGGCTGGCACCTGGCCCGGGGAGGGGGCAGGAGCTTTGTGTCTCTCCCCGCCCCTGGGACAGTGGGAGGCTCCCATGACTCAGTTCTGCCCAAGGAGGGGGAAGTCAAGGCCAGGCCTCTGAGGTAGGGGACCCAAGGGACCTCCCTGTCCTCCTCACTCTGCTCTCTGCCCATCTCCCATCTCCCATCTCCCCACCCGGTGCTTCCGGCAAAGCTGGGCAGGGCCCAATGCATTCTCTGCTGGTTATCTTGGCCAGGTGCTCCACCCCGTCCCTAGATCTGCAGCACAGACCTGCTGCCCGGTGGACTGCCCTGAGTGGGTGCCATCGCCCACAGCTCGAGGGTGGAGAGGCAGTCATTCAGAGGGGATGTGGATCAAGGATGGGAAGACCTCTAGTCGCCAGAGTGGAGCCTCCAGCTCCTGCCAGGGAAACCCTCCCAGCGGCTGCTTAGCCTTTCCCAGCCCTGCCCTCCTCCTTAGCTGCTCACATTTCAGCTTCTGAGTTACTGGCACCACCTTGTGCTGCTGAGGCCACCGTACCAGACAGACGTTAACCCCCCACGTGCTGGCAGTGGGCTCCCTGGATATAGCGCAGGGGCTCGGGGTTCACAGGGGCTGAGGGAGGAAACAGCTGAAACCAGTCCCTGTGCTCTAGCCTGGCTCCCCTGCTGGGCGTTATCTTGCTCCCTCCTCCCTGTCTGCCCAACTGAAAGCTACGCCTCCCTGACCCCTAGGGGTTGTTCCTTTGGCTGCCTGGACACTGACGGTCGGCCACGGAATGTGGTGTCTCTATCACCAAGTACTTGACCTTGTCCTTTCTTGTAGACTCCGTCTTCTCCCTCCATATTTCTTGCCACACCCAGCTGGGCTCCCCTCTTGCACCTGGACCACTAGTCCCAGTCAGTCTTGAGGTCATAGGAGGTTGTGAGGAGCCTGCTAGGAGCCAGGTGCCGGCACCGACTAGCTGGGACAATCTTGGGCAAGTCCTTGGGGTATTGGATCACAGACGTGGGTGCTGTAGTGAGGATGAAATGGGGAACTTGAGTAAAGCCGCCAGAGCATCAGCTGGCACTTAGAGGCACTCAAGGACTCCTGCCCACATACACTTGGGCCTGCCCCACCACACACACATGCTGGAGCTTTGAGTCCCCCTCCTCCGGAGAGCGACTGCTTCCTGGCTGCCTCACCTCTCATAGCCTCTCAGGCCTGCTTTCTCATCAGAGCAGACCTCTGTCCCTCCCCTGCCCTGGCCATTCCCAGCCCAGCCCCAGCCTTTTCCATCCGCAGGCAGGACTGGACATCCTGCCTTCTCTCCCTCACCTCGCTCTTCCTCCGAGGAGCTTCAGCTGCCCAGAGAGACATTGGGCACCTCCTCTGAGCTCAACAGCAACCTCAGTTGTCCTCGTCCCCTATCCTTCTGATTTGGACCTTTCTCCTGAACCCCAAATGCTCCCTCCTGGTTCCTTGTGGCCCCTTTGATGATCCTTCACACTCCCTGCCACACCTCCTTGGTCCCTAGGCTGATTTACTCTCCTTTTATATTGCCCCGAGGCCCCTGAGCTCTCTCCTCCCCTCCTCTGCACTCATGGGAAGGGCCCAGAGGGAGAGTCAGGTCCCAGCTTTCCAGCTATGCCATGCCTCAGGCTCCTGTCTTCTGGGTGGGATCTTCACAGCTGAACTTGTGCTTACCGAGATCAACTGAGAAAGTGGTCAGCTGTTTCATTTTTTTAAAAAAAAATATTTTTATTGATTTTAGAGAAGAAGGGAGAGGGAGAGAGAGATAGAAACATCAATGATGAGAGAGAATCATTGATTGGCTGCCTCCTGCACAGATCGAGCCTGCAACCCACGTATGTGCCCTTGACCGGAATCAAACCTGGGAGCCTTCAGCCCGCAAGCCGACACTCTATCTACTGAGCCAAACCAGCTGGGACAGCCATTTCATTTAAAACTGAGATAGTCCAGCCAGGTGGCCATATGTTGAGTTTTTATTAAGGGAATGCACCTCACTGAAGCAGGCATACCTGGTTCCTCCTTGTTGACATGGTGAAAAGCAGAGAGATATTTCCCTGGGGAAAGTCCCTCACAGAGGGAGGTGGAGGAGCTGAGTGGGATGAGGGCAGGAGCACACTCCAGTGGGCTGTAGTAACGGGCCTGAAAGTAGGGAACAGAACCAGAAAGGGGGGCAGAGGACACGGGACACATCACAAGTAGACTCCAGCCCTCCCTTTTTAATTTTCACCCAAGGATATGTTTGTTGATTTTAGAGAGAGGGGAAGGGAGAGAGACAGCGAAACATCGATGTGAGAGAGAAACATTGATCTGTTGTCTCCTGTACGCACCGCAACCGGGCATTGGATCTGAAACCTAGTTATGTGCCCTGACCAGGAATCGAACCCATAACCTTCTTGGTGTACGGGATGATGCTCCAGCCAACTGAGCCACCCAGCCAGGGCTCCAGCCCCCTTTTCAAGATCTTGCTAATGAGCAAAGTGAGTCAGATCGGGCTGGACAAAGGAAGTGGGCATCTGGAGGGCAGGACCTTTTGAGCCTTCTGAACAAGCCCAGTGCCTCCAAGATCAGTAAGGCCTTGGGGGTGTCGGAGCTCAGCCACTTCACCCCAATCTCGGCCTTGACTTCTCTAAATGTGTTCACTCTGCTTGCTCTCTGAGGATCCTTTGTGCCAGGCGCCCTCTAGTGGTTGGGGGACCCCAGCCTTGTTGGTCCAGAGATCTCTGTGTCTAGGGTAGGACAGGAGACCAGGGCTTTGGGGGATATTGGGATATGCTCCAAACCCCTGCACAAGTGTCTGACCCCATTCTGTTTTCCTTGGAGTATTCAGGATCCCCTCCCAAGCAGGGGCTTTTTGCTTCTATGGGGCTTTCATTCCTGACCCAAGAACTTTTATCTACCCCCCACACCCCATCTCCTAAACAGGTTGGGGTCCCACATGTACCAGAGCATGCTGGGGTCCAAAAGGCCATCTGTTCACCCGATCCCTCCTCCCCCCCCACACACACACTCATGGCATATTTGCTTAGAGGAAAAGCCTCAAAATAGGATTGGGACCCTAGATTCCTGTTTAGGTTCCATCTCCATTTCTCTGTATGTCATTAGGGAAGTCCCTTAACTTTCTCTGTACCTCCTTCATGTTTCCCTCATCTGTGGTAACGGAATTCTTCTAAGGCCCCCAGTGACCTTTGCCCTTATATACTCCCCTTTCATGGAGTGGGCAGAACCTGTGAATAGAGCATCACTCCCATGATTAGATTATGCTACTACATATGCATAGTTGACCTTGAGATAGAGACATTATCCTGAGAATGTCAGGCTAACAATATCCATTAGTTTGACCTAATCATATGAGTCTTTTAAAAAATAGAGAGTTTTCTCCGGCTGCTTCTGGAAGGGGAAATGGGAGAGATTTGAATCGAGAGAGGGATTCATGCCTGGGACATTCTCTTGTTCAGATGGAGGAGGCCAGGGCACAAGGACCTGAGGATGGCTTCTAGGAGCTGAGAGCCAACCCCAGCCAGTAGCCAGCAAGCCAGTGAGACCTCCTTCTACAGCCAAAGGGAACTGAATTCTGCCGACGTCCAGTGAAGTTGGAAGAGGACCAGAACTCCAGATGAAATCAAAGCCACAACTGACACCTCAATTTCAGCTGGTGAGACCCTGAACAGGGAACCCAGCCATGCCATGCCTGGCTTTCTGACCTCCTGAACTGTGAGATGATAAACAGGTACCGTTTTAAGCCAATAAATATGTGGAAATTTATTACACGGCAACAGGAAACGAATACATCATTTGTCCAAAGAGAAGAACAGTATTTTAGAAACATGTAAGATAAAAATGAGAGAAATCTATATTACCCTTCCCCCCAAGGCTGCTGTGTAGAGTAAAAATCTGCAGCAGCTTCTGTATTTACAGTCCCCCCTCCTGGCTGCAGTTAAACCCACATTCTTAGGGTTCATATCTTTCACCTGAGCTTCCAGCCATTCTGGATGAGGGCACGTTTGTTTTGAGAAGGGCTGTGCTAATGGCACCATCAGAGCAGCCAGATCCCACGTTGGCTGAAGAAAGGAACTCTGGAACCCTCTACTGTAGGGGATCCTGGACTTTGGCCATCTTTAGGGTCAATAAAGCCATTTAAAAAATAACAGCTTTATTAGATACGATTCACCCATCTGAAGTGTAAAATTGAATGGTTGTAGTCTATTCAGAATTGTGTAACCATCACCACAACCAATTTTAGAACATTCTCTCATTGCCCCCAAAGAATCCCCCGATTAGCACTCGCCCCTCATTTCCTCCTAATGCCCCCTCATTCCCTTGGCAACCACTAATCTTTCTATCTCTATAGATTTGCTTATTCTTGACATTTCATGTAAAAGGAATCATACAGTGTGTGACCTGTGTCTGGCTTCTTTCACTTAGTATCATGTTTCCAGGGCTCATCCATGTTGTGGCATGTGTCAATATTTCATTTCATTTTTTTTTGGTACTTCATTGCTTTTTATGACTGAATAATATTCCATTGTGTAGATGGACCGCTTCTTGTGTACCCATTCCTCATTAAAGCCTGTTGATGACTCTCATTCACTCCTCCTACATGGAATTTGGGGTGGGGCTGTGGGGAGGGGAGCAAAGGGGAGGGCAGGGCACTGAGTGCCAGCTCAGTAGAGGATCTGCATTTCTAACAGGGATCATCGTGGGCATTTCATTAATTACACTCTTTAAAGGGATCTAATTTTTAAAGGGCAAGCATTCTGCGGGCTGATTTTCACACCACTCGATCCTCTGTGCAGTTGTCTCTGCTCTAAAGCAGGTGAGCCCCATATTCAATGTCAACCTTACAACATGGCTGTCCCTTTCACTTGCAGCAAGTTTTATTTATTTTTATTATTTAATATATTTTTTATTGATTTCAGAGAGGAAAGGAGAGGGAGAAAGAGATAGAAACATCAATGATGAGAGAGAATCATAGATTGACTGCTTCCTACACACCCCACACCGGGGATTGAGCCCGCAACCCAGGCATGTGCCCTGACCAGGAATCGAACCATGACCTTCTGGTTCATAGGTCAATGCTCAACCACTGAGCCACTCTGGCTGGGCCACCTGCAGCAAGTTTTAACAGGGAGATAGGACTGGGGGTTTGGCCTCTCCTCTGTCCCTCCTTGCACATCACCAAACTGTCATTCTCCCTGGGCCAGCTCAGATGCCTCTGGCCACCACCATCCATGGCAACCTGGTACCAGTGATATATCAACTACACCTATTGATGCCAGGCATGCCACTAACTTCTCGTGATAGCCTGCAAGCTAGGTGCTGTACGACCTCTGTTTTACAGATGAGGAAACTGGGTAAGGTTGAGGAACTTGCCTGGGGTCACCCTGGAGCTGGGGTTCAGGCAGAGTCTGGATTCTGAACCACACTGCGTAACTACTAGTCCTTTCTGGAACTGTTGTCCAAAGAGCAGGGAGTGTGTGTAGACAGATGAGGGAGGTCTGAGGACTGTGGCCCCAGAGGGTAGCCTCCCAGATGCCAAGAAAAAAAGAATTTCAAGAAGGTCAGATTTGGTGAAGACAGAAAACAGAGCCCTTTAGGTCACCAGTGACTTTAGCAAGAGCAGTTCTTATGAAGTTGGTTTTCCAATTTGCCCAGCACCATTTATTGAAGAGGCTTTTTTTTTTTTACACTCCATTGTGTGTTTCTGTCTCCTTTGTAGAAAATTATTTGCCCATATACATGTGCTTTTATATCTGTGCTCTCAATTCTGTTCCATTGATCTGTGTGTCTTTTTCCCCCCCTGCCAACACCATGCTGTTTTGATTATCGTAGCTCTGTAGTATAATTTGAAGTCAGGTAGTATGATACCTCTGGCTTCATTCTTTTTTCTCAGAATTGCTTTGGCTATTCGGGGTCTTTGGTGGTTCCATACAAATCTAATGATTTCTTGAAAAAATGACATTGGGATTTTGATGGGGATTGCATTCAATCTGTATATTGCTTTGGGTAATGTGGCCATTTTAACTATGTTGATTCTTCCAATTCATGAACAATGGGATATTTTTCTATTTTGTAGTCTTTTTCAATCTCTTTTAATAATGCTTTGTAGTTTTCAGTATATAGGTTTTTTACATGCTTTGTTAAGTTTATTCTTAGGTATTTTATTCTTTTGGTTGCAATTGCAAAAGGAATTTCTTTTTCTGAAGTTTTATTGTTAGTATATAGGAAGGCAGTAGATTTTTGTACACTGATTTTGTATCCTACAACTTTACTGTATTTGTTGTTGTTTCTAATAGTTTTTTGTGGCATCATTAGGGTTTTCTATGTGAAGAATCATGTTATCTGCAAAAAGTGACTTTTACTTGTTCCTTCTCGATTGGGATGACTTTTATTTCTTTCAGTTGCCTTATTGCTCTGGCAGAACTATCCTATCTAATAATAGACAAACATGGTAATTAACTGTACCTCCGAAATGCTTCCCATTGGCTAATCAGGGCGATATGCAAATTAACTGCCAACCAAGATGGCGGCCGGTAGCCAGGCAGCTGAAGCGAACAGGAGGCTTGCTTGCTCCAGTGATGGAGGAAGCCAAGGTTCCCCGCCTGCCGCTGCCGGCCTCTGAGCTGCACTCTAAGAAACAATGTTGCAATTATAGAAGCTAAACAAACCCCAGAAACCTGCTTTCAGCCAGCCGGGCCTCAGAGCTGGAGTTGCAACAGTGTTTCAATTATAGAAGCCAAACAAACCCAGATACCTGCTTTCAGCAGCTGAGGTCTCAGAGCTGGAGCCGAGCCTCAGAGCTAAAGCCGGCCCTCAGCTCCAGTGACAGCCATAGAAGGTAAATAAATCTCAGAATAAAAAAAAGAAAAAAAAGAAAAAAAGGAGAGGTTGGGAGCTTCAGTCGCCCGCCAGCCTGAAAACGGCCCTCAGCCCCTCACCCAGGCTGGCCAGGCACCCCAGTGGGGACCCCCACCCTGAAGGGGGTGTGACCAGCTTCAAACAGCCATCATCCCCTCATCCAGACTGGCCAGGCACCCAAGCGGGACCCCCACCCTGATCCGGGACACCATTCAGGGCAAACCAGCCGGCCCCCACCCGTGCACCAGGCCTCTATCCTATATAGTAAAAGAGTAATATGCAAACTGACCCTAACAGCAGAAGGACTGGGAATGACTGGTCACTATGACACACACTGACCACCAGGGGGCAGACGCTCAATGCAGGAGCTGCCCCCTGGTGGTCAGTGCGCCCCCACAGGGGGAGCTCTGCTCAGCCACAAGCCAGGCTGATGGCTGCCAGTACAGCGGTGGTGGTGGGAGCCTCTCCTGCCTCCTCAGCAGTGCTAAGGATGTCCGACTGCAGTTTAGTTCTGCTCCCCGCTGGCAAGTGGACATCCCCCGAGGGCTGCTGGGCTGCCAGAGGGATGTCTGATTGCCATCTTAGGCCCAATCCCCTGGGGAGTGGGCCTAAGCCAGCAGGTGGTCATCCCCTGAGGGGTCCCAGACTGCGAGAGGGCACAGGCTGGGCTGAGGGACCTTCATCCCCCACCCCCGAGTGCACAAATTTTTGTGCACCGGGCCTCTAGTCTATTCTAATAAAAGGGTAATATGCTAATTAGACCGGGAGACCTTCCAGACGTCCTTCCAGACAAAGCCATGGTGGCGGGGCTGAGGCAGAGGCAGTTAGGGGAGATCAGGCCAGGAGGGGAGGGCAGTTGGGGGCGAGCAGGCCAGCAGGGAGGGGCAGTTGGGGGTAAGCAGGCTGGCAGGGGGGCAGTTGGGAGCAATCAGGCTGCCAGGAGGGGCATTTTGGGGTGAGAAGGCGGGCAAGGGGGACAAATGGGGGGGGAGCATTTTGGTGGGAGGGGGGCATTTGGGGGTGAGGAGGCTGGCAGGCAGAGTATTTATGGGCGATCAGGCAGGCAGGCAGGTGAGTGGTTAGGACCCACCGGTGCCGGTTTATGAGAGGAATCCCAGTTTGGAGAGGGTCCAGCCCGGGCTGAGGGACCCCCCCCCCCCCCCGCACGAATTTTGTGCACCGGGCTACTAGTCTATATAATAAAAGCCTAAGCAACCATTAGGGCAGAACGACCAGTTGCTATGACATGCACTG